AGGTATTCGAGGTATGGGTTACCCTAATGTAATAAAATTCTTGGTTGAGGATGTCCACTCCATTTTCCTAAAACAAAACTCTGCTTATGGTTTAGTATGAAATGGACACACAAATAAAAACGTCAATAAAAAGAAAAAACTGACAAAGTTAATTTGCTAATAAAATAGTGGACGCTCGCTCGTTTGCCACCTCTTGATAAAAAAAAGTGCGTAACTAAGCATTAAAAAAAACAATCACATTACAATGTATCCATAAAGGTAGATCTTTCAGTGCTCATTTTATTAGCGAAACATTACATTAATATCGTTACTTAAAATATTTTATAAGCATGATAGCAAAATTAGTATAATGTAAGCGGTGGTGCGAATCCCCGAAACTTGACTTACCATATTGATTACTGCTAGAAGCGTCATCTGTGTAAAATAAGCCACACTATCTCGTTTAAATGCACGTCTACCCGTAGCGGTTACGTTCGCATTGTATATATTGTAGGCTCCCTCTGACAGTACAACCCTGTTGTTAGGGTTGGGGCTAACACCGACATTAAACTTTAGAAGTAGTTAGTTTGCGTTAAGTATAGAGGACGTTACTTTGATATTCAACCCTTAACTAAAGGAAATAATTTTTAATTTTTTTTAAAAGTAGATAAAAATTAAATCAAAATTGTAGTAAAATTTATATTTTAGCTAAAACAATTTTAATGTGTACGATTACAATTCGACTTTAAAAACTTCAGTTTGCGTGGATCCGAATACCGGTGTTACGAAACATTATGTATCGAATTTTGATACTGTTAGTCGACCGGGAGCGCGGCGTCTCCTGTAATCCGGCGACACGGAGGTCGGGAACGGAGGATAGTTTGAGGTCGGGAGCTCTGGCGCGTGGACCCATGTAGACTGGACGTCCGCATTGAGCCCGGCATCGGCATGGGCAGCCCGGGGGAGTCCGGGCGGGCCAGGTTGACTAAGGAGGGGCGGACAGGGCCAGGGGGGAGACCCAGCAGCCAAGAGTCCCCGTGTCGGGCGGTAGTGGGACAGCGGCCGGGAGTGGGACTCACAGCGTCAGCCAGACCAACATAACTAGACACCCTTCCTTTTTGCTGCTATACTTACTTACTATTCGGATAGGTATTTTTTTTTCTTGCTAAAAATCTGATTAGTTAATACTAAAGTAACTTTTACATTTACAAAGTTCTAACCATTCAACAAAATAAAACTTTTGGATAACAAGGATTTAATTTAAGTTATATATTTATGTATTTAGCGACGTCATCTATATAATAACCCCGACACTACTACGCCAGCTATGAACATATACAAACAACATCCCTGTACATTTACTGCGGGTCCGATTCGCCCTGAAAATAGCTTTCAGCGCGACATTTTATCATAGATGGCATGGCAGGGCATGACTACTTAAAAATTAAAAATTGCGTTTTTTAAGTTTTCAGTTAATCTTTTCATTAATTTTTTTTAATCTTATGTCATGAAAAAAACAATAGGGTTTCTGATTGGATTCTTTGACTAAAAAGTTTCAGTGAGATTCGAATGCAGGACTCCACAAAGCTTATATATCGCAATTTCATTGTGTTACTCGACCGGGAGCGCGGCGTCTCCTGTAATCCAGCGACGTGGAGGTCGGGAACGGAGGATAGCTTTCCTAGTCGGATCCCCTCGTAGTTAAGTACGCCTTGTTGACCTGACGCTGCCGACTAGGTCAAGTACGGAGCCAACTACCCTAAAGATCGGGGAAGTCCCAGGTATGACTTCGGCGTGTGTGTAATGGCAGGGAACATCACAACCGCCGAGTTCCCCGTACCTAGACGCCTAGTGGAGGCAGCGAACGAGATAGAAAGTGCCTACTTGACTTCCGACTAAGAAAGCCTAGACCCTTTCCTTTTATTACGGTGTAATGCATCAGCTAGTCGATTAATTATTTATCTTTTTAATCGTAACCTTATTCATTTATTAACCTTATTCTTATATATTACATTTCATATATAAAATAAAAAATTATACAAAATATATATATTAAAAATAGAACACCACCAGCTGCGGAGTCCCATGATTCTAACAACCAGTGGTCAGGGCTGCAGAGACAGGAACCTTCTCACCTTCTTATTTATTTATTTATTATATAACAAACACAGCAGCTTGACTTTATTAAAGGAAGTTCTTCGAATTTGTTATGGTATTTATGTTTCCTATTAATATATTTCTAGGTTAGTTTTATTTCGAGACGTAATAAAACAAACAAGCTTATTAAGGCACTTTAATAAATTTTTAACGTAAATAGTAAATAGAATAACCCTTCAAATTGAACATTAATTCGAAATTACCTTTATATTTTAAATCAAGTTTCGATTCAGGAAACCAACCGGCAATATAGAGAGCACAGTTAGCAGTACAAAAACATCTTCCCGTAAGTGGTTTTAATTGACATACTTAATTTCCGGAATTTTCGAGTCTTAGGGTGACTAAGTTCATATTTGCAGCAAATCAGGAAGGACCAAGTAACAGCATATCAGCGGGGTTAGAAAAAGTACATTCGCTTCGAAGCGATTCCATAACGAATTGAAAAAATGTAAAATTTACGTGCGACAATCACGTGACTTATCGAAAGTTATATATTGTCAGTTCTATACATTTTTGAAGTTCGCTATGGATTCGCCTCGAAGCGAAAGTATTTTGTCTAACCCCACAGGTGTTATAATACAAAAGGCAAACTAAAGGTGATAAAAAGTGGGTAGGTAGATAGGAAGTTGTTTTCCGTTGGGCCAATTGTTCTACGGCTCAATCGGCCCCAATAGGAATTTTTGCCATTGTGCCGATTGAGGTCGTGTCTAAAAAAATATAAAATGGCATACATTTTTCATTAGCCCTATGGAGGGTCATGGAATGAAAAATGTCCATCGGACCGATTGGCTCAACGAGAAAACCCATAGGTAGGGTATTATTTTATTAGATTGCAAAGCAAAGATGAGGATAGAACGAAAACAAGTTTTGTAATAAGGCAAACACAGTTTTGCAAATTTATTCCACATATTAACTGATACAAGATTGATACAAGTCAGAATCTAACAGTAGGGGCATGCTATGTGGTCCAATACAAAAAGAAACCATTAGTTACAGCGACAATAACAAGTTGCACGAGTCCTCAACTTTACAATACTACTACTTCTCTTCACACTAATGTATTTTAAATGGGAATATGTAATAAAAATAAAGCAAAAAAACTAAAGCAGGAACACAGTTGGGAAATGTCGTCGATTACATCGTGTGTTTCATTTTAGCCGTAATTGATGTTGTAGAGTTTATTCATTGCATTAAGTTCATGTAACCTAAGTTGTAAGTATGTCAAAAAAACAACAGTCAAACTCCTTATAATATAATAATTACTGCTAAAATACACATCACATCGCAAAATGCGTTCGCAGGAATAAAATATATTGAATAACATGTATTAAAAAAACAGTCGAGGGACCGGCGCGCGGCTGCAAACAGGCAACCGCCACCGCGCGCCTCACAAACATAAAGTATATATTAAATATATACGGCTAATACAAGACGGGAAAACATAAGCATAACGGGAACTCGCGTTCCAAACATTTCATAACGTCCTACTTTAACATTTTACGGAATCGATGCGATACAAAATTGAAAACGTGAAAATCAAATAAAAAACACATAGAAAAAAAAGTGGAACGATCCTCGATCAGAGGGCGAGAATCGGGCGTAAACGTGACCGTTGACCGCCGGCTCGGCCGCGGCGCGCGAGTGCTCCCCTGCGCAGCTTGTAGTGTCTCCAGACAGGGGCTCGGCGCGCGCGGGCGGCGCGGCGGGCGCGGGCGCGGGGGCGGCTAGCGGCGGCGCGCGGCGGCGGGCGGCGCCGGCTAGCTGGGCGGCTGGTGCGGCTGGTGCGTCTGGTGCGCGTGGTGCGCCTGGTGCCCCTGGTGCCCCTGGTGCCCCTGGTGCGACTCGCCGCCCCAGCCGCACGCCGCCGCCGCCGCCGCACCCAGGCGCCGCTTCGTCTCCCCCCCAACGTGCTGGTTGCCCCCGTCCAACTTGCGTTTACCTGCCGACACCGCACAACACACAACTCATATACCTCCTCCTGGCCACACTACACTATACCCAGATCAACTAATAGTAGGAACATTATAATTACATATTTCATTCTATAATACGAGTAATAAGTACTACTGTTCCACAATAACACGAAACTCACGGAGCACTCGTGGTCATGTGGAACAAGTTAAGGAAGGATAGGTACAGTTAGGTAAGGTTTTATTTTCTAAACAAAGTTCTCCCAAAAACTTAGCTCGGCAAACAAAAACACGGGACTCACCACCGCTCGATCGAGCTCTCAAGTTTGTGGGAGAACTTGGAGAAAGGAGTAAAGGGAGAGGATAGTTACCGATACACAAACAATAGTCCAGACTAGACGCAAACCATCAAACAAGCTGAAATAAAACGGACCAGCATGAGAACACGCACGACACTCGACCGAGTGATGGAGTCCAATGTTTTTGAATATTACATTTGGTGAGTGATATAACGCGCTGATGCCGTGTCAGCTGTGACTTTGAGGACTAAGATGATGTACCTCTTAACTTACTTATACTATTAGAACATATCTTGAATTCAACAATAAATGCCAGCACTAACCAAACTTAACCATCTTAAAGGAAAATCATAGTGAAGAGATCGAATGTGTTGGTTCAGAAGAAGGCACTTCGATATAACATTGAGCGTGCTTGTGCTAGGATTACTTGGAAACGTTTCTTGGGTAAAACTAATAAACTAGATAGATGTTATCGTGTACTGACCTGGTAAACTTGGCTTGGCGCGCGGGTTGCCACGCATGGCGCTGGGCGTGCGGCGGCCACGAGCGGCGCGTCGCGCACCACCACGGGCCCCAGCCGCGCCCGCCGCCGCGCGCCGCGCCCACCGCGCGCCCGTCCCACATGACCCACCCTGCGCACCCACCACACACCTCACACCTCGTGCTCGCCTCGACACATCGCCAGCACGACCGATGCCCCACGTCGCCTCTATCCCTTTGCCTTGCTACTACATTGCTACTTATCGAATCTACAAATGTTTTTGTTCTAAAATTTGTACTGATTACAAACAGCTATTAGAAGAGCTTTATACCAATATTCCAAACTTTTAAATATGCGTCCATGAGGCAATAACAACAATAGAATTAACAATAACAAGCACAGAGTATAAAATTTTCAATATGTCAGATTTGCTAAATACAACTTACCAACTCTGAATTGGATATTAAAACTAAGATTCTAATAAGATACATTAAAGCTTTAATATTTAATAAGGACGGAGCTAAATTCATGCAAGACATAAAAGTTGAGCAAAATTACATTTTTTACGATCAAAGTTCATAATTTTGTCATTTCAATATGCAATCTAAGATGCGTTTGCATGCTCGCTCGTATGATGCAATATGGCGCGTTTAAAATGCTATATAATGTAAATCTTCTGCAACGTAATAACTTGCCAATTGAGTGCATATTTAAAAAATACCAATATTATTAGGAAATGGTACAAAATATCTTGTTATTTATGAACCCTATAAATCACTAGAACCTCGGCAAAGGAATACTGCAATTAGGGGCATCGGACGTGCTGGTTGTTTTGAATGCGCGAGACATTAAATAAAATACACTTTCAGTTATCATAAATATCTGATAACAGCCAGTGTACATCTCTGTAGTCGCAAACTAAATAATAAAAGTACTTTATTACGAAAAGTAATATACTAATTAGCGCTTTTTTAAGGCAATGTATTCATTAATCGTGCTGAATTATTACAGTCACAACAAAAAAATAGTTTTCACAATACGATAAAGAAACATTCAACGCTTCTTTAGCTTTCCATCGCATTGTGAGAAGTATTTATTGTAAAATTTGCAGCAAAATTATTAATGCTATTTACTATAACACTATAACTATATACGTAACATAATTTTGCAGCAATAATAAAACAATTTAAACTATATATACATACTAATAAATGTACATTACACATTCTTGTTTATAACAGTCGGTTTTCACTGAAGGCGAGAATGTGCCATGACTAAATGTTTTGTTCAGTGTTCCGGTTGTGTAAACCGACAGTAATATCAAGAATATGTGACTTTTATTTACTTGATATTTAAAGTCAAACTAAAGTCATGCTGCAAAATAATCAAAATATTACTGCAACCATATTGCAGTATACCGCAATAAGGTATAACCAAAATAATCTCTAAGTTCTTAACTAGGGTTATATGTAGAAACAATCAGGTACGTAGGATACAAAGCTGTATGTGTTGCGAGACTAGGCGCACAGTAACTACGACAACTAGACAATGTTCTAACATGGGAACAGTAGGTTCATTTGTCAGAGGGTAAATATACCATTACATATTGAAGTCCGGTACCTGAATGCCTCCGGTTAGATCGTAGTAAAGCGAGTTGGGCCCGAGAGCGAGCTCGTCTTCCTGAGTGAGGCATCGACCAAGCGGATCAGTAAGTCTTCACAACACACGCTCTACCACACGTTATGACACAATCGCAGCGGGTGCGGGAGTGCGGCTCGGCCCTCCGGCCGGCTTACCACGGGTTAGTGACAAGCGGGGGCGAAGCGCTACGGGGCGGGATCGGGGGTGTGGGATGTCGAGCGAAGCGAACGTGAACGTGAAATGGCAATGGTATGATATGGAGTATGGGGGTGCATGGTGCGGGCTGTTAGTCGGAGTGGCCAGAGCCATGCAGACCTGATGGTGCGATCGCGACCGGCCACCCCGCGCCCTACCACTCGCGCCCACGGCTGCAGCGCCGCAGCGCGTCGGCCGCCGGGCGCCCGCGAGCCCCGAGGCGAGGCCCCGCATTGCTCGCGGACGCCCGGCGCGCCCCGCCGCCGCTACATCGATCACCACCGTCAGGCCTACACACTACCGTTCTTTACCGAGTCACTGACTCCATTCTAGGATGGGTTCAACCAAAAAAAATTAAGAAAAAATAAACTGTGAGAACAGATGAAAAAATTTCGCAACTCAAAATTCGGAAGGTAATGATGAGTACAGCGTCTAGTGACTAGTAAAATAATATGATAACATTAGTTAGTGTGTGTGGGACCCACCGGTTGCGCTCTGTTGGGAGGCTGGCGGACGGCGGACGGTTGCGGTGGCCCCGCGTAATCAAAATAGAACTCATCGTACCGGTAAAATGGCTCATTGTAGCCACCTCGGTAATCCCCGTACCCGTAATAGTCGTAATCATAATCTATAAACACACAACACAGGCCTTTTAGAGGCTAAGCTAAACTAACACTAACTTACAAGCTACCTCGGGCTGGCGGCCGTCGCGCCGGCACACCACACCACATGCAGTGGCCTCCTCCTCACCTCTCACCTCTCACCCACCACCGAGCCCTACTCGTAAGCGACACCAACACACACCTCCCTGCTCGCGCTCGCCTGGAGCCACGCTCACAAACATCGTGATCAATGATTAACTCATGACGCATGCACTGGGGGACTCGGTTAACTTGTTATCACATAAAACATCCTGTAGCCCTCTGTCCTTATCGCAGCTGTTTGCGTGTCGGAACTCGTCTCGCCTGTCTCTCTACGGATTTGGGCGGAAACCATGCAGTGACCTAAGCCTAGCTCTTTATTATTCTCTAGCCTAGAGAGTAGCATTAGTGGTACATGTATTTAGGCCGCGACGGTACACCTCAAACAATTCTCGTTGTAGACTTAGATGCGAGTCGTCTTGTTAAGTGTACAGTCGCGACCAGAGTTGTTAGTAAGGGATCGGGTAGCAAAGTTTGCGATTGTGCGCGTGGAGACCACACCGTGTACAATAAGTAATCGCGTTGGTGTCAGTGTGTGATGTGAGAGGACGGTATCCTATCCACAGTGAGCTAGGTGAACGAGGTCGACGCAAAGCAAAGCATCACTTCACCACACTCGAGTGCTACCAAACTGTGCTTTCGCCGATATTTGTGGACTTTGGATTGATTTGTTTAGTTTTAAGGGCGATATTGAATCGTAAATTGGATGCTGCATTGTTACAACTTTAAAAGAATTAAGTTTTAAAACATCTTTATTGTCTGTCATAGTCCCATTACATAAATAATGAGAAAGAATTAGGTGTAAAGTTTCATAATATCATAAACGCGTATTTAATAAAGACCTATAAAAGTAAAATTTCATTATTAATTTTTCTGCAAACAAAACTTAAGGATAACCCGCATTCGACTACTTCTCGTCCACCTGGCATCGCCCCGCCTTGCCATCACCGCGGCGTTCATTCGCATCCGCTACGACGCCAATCGACCGGAATATAAAGATATAAATTTGTTAACAAAACTATACGTCATTTTAGTTTCGAAAGAACGTCAAGAGCTCCATTTGCTATCACCGGACCTCCGCATCTTCGCCTCGCCGACAAGTAGTGGCCGAATGCGCGTTAACCTTTAGTTACCTACAAATACCTAAGAGAGATGTTCGCTCAGATATAAAAAATCTATCCAAAGTCAATAAAGTATCGAGGACTTTTCAATCAGATTTAATTTACAAACAAGCACACTTGCTGCTTCTCTGAGAAATAGGCTCAACGAAAACGTAACCTTTCGAATATGAGGTCATAAACAAAAAACGTCTCTTTAAATTTACTGTGCCCGTTAGTAAATCCAATCCTTATCACGTGTACACAAACATTTGATCACGCATAGTTACCGTGGCACGCGCGTACCACTCACGTATGCGCGTGCGCATGTCATGTGTGTATGTGTATGTATGTATGTAGGTGTGTGTGTATGTGCGCGTGCATACTGACCGTAGTCGCCGCGAGCAGCGGGCGGGCGCGGCTGCGGCTGCGGCGTGCGGCCCCGCAGCGCGCCGTGCACCGGCGAGCAGCTGCACCAATCAAATCTGAATGTTACACACAGCGACGTTACCCACACGCCTCTACACATTAGTCCCAAATATACTGATAAACTCAACCGCTGCAGTTGCAACACCTATGTGGTCCCCTCTCGCTCTAACTGCTGCATTCTGTTGTATCTAGTTCTCTCGCTCTAACACCCCCAAATAATGCGACCATATGCACATGCATCGGAAGCATCTGTCTCGCTCTGAAGCGTATAAATAATGTCCCTTGCGACGTAACGCACATAAGCATAAATCATTCTATATGTATATGCAATTGCGTCCGGTGCATCATTCATCTCGCTCTAATGCATCGCTGCACTGAACGATATTATGCAACAGTCGCCTCTGTTGCATCTGTTCATAAAGTTTCTTCTCACTCCGACGCATCCAAAATTGACCTACCTGCATTGAGCCTGCCCCCGCCCGCTCAAACGACCCCGGCTTCCTTATCTAAGCTAAGGAATAATTTAACATCACATGTTTTCAACACAAGATAAATAATCTTATACTTTTGTATATACATTTTTTAATCTATTTTGTGGGCTCAAATCGTCTGGGTAATTCGTGTGTTATTTCAACAATTTCAATTTCCTGTTCTATATATCTAAATAAAAATTTCCTAGGATACAATAATGATTATCTTTTCAATCACATTAAACAACTATTCAAAAGCACGAACTACAGCAAACTGCGCATGCGCACTCACCCGCCGCGGCCGTATATCATCTGCGTCATGCGACGCTCGCGCGCGCGCAGTATCTCCTCCTTCTTCTTCTTATCGGAGGGAGGCTTGGCCAGCGACACCTCCAGCCGCGCACCGCCCATCTCCTTGCCGTCCAGCTCGTGCATCGCCTGCACACGTTACACATCACAGAATAACAACATGACAAAAATGACACGTGACAGGATGACAGTAGACAGTATGACAGATGAGCACCTTAACAGCGCAGTCCCGGTCCTCAAAGTGAACGAATGCGTAATCTTTAATCTTCTTGACGCGCTCCACCGTGCCGTAGTGCTCGAATTCTTCTTTGAGCGCCTCCTCCGTGATCTCCTGCGTTAGGTTCCGCACGTACAGCACTTTCACCTGCGAATGCGTGGCTTTCAACACTCAAAACTATCAGCCAAAGGGGCAAAAACATAAAAAATTTAATCGATTTTCCTCTCCTAGTTCTACGTTTCTTCTAAAATTGATAATTGGATATTTATCTTGTCTAATTAGATATTGCGTGTCTTATTGGAATGATAGTTGTGGTTATGTAATGAGATGTAACTTACTTTGCTCATAGTCTGCTCGTCGGGTTCTTCTTGAGGGTCCGCCCAGTCGACTATTATATCACAGCCCCATACCTAACAGAAAATGTCATGTTATATCCTTTTGATCCTTACATAGAAGGCAGTATATATCAAGCTTTATCAGTGATATAGAGTAGGGGCCTCACCTTTATTCTCCCAGTGCCCAGTCTGCGCTTGGCTAACGACGCCGCTTTGTGTGACTCGTATTCCAAAAAACAAAACCCTCTATTTTTCTTCTTGTCATCGGGCGAACTATATATAATAACTTCTACCAGTCCAGCTGCAATCATACAAGGTTCATATAGCGGCGCGGGCGACAGCGAGCTCGCCTCAAAAATAATAAAAAGCGTCCTTCCCCTCGCTTAGATCATTCCTTCAACGCTACGAAAATATGAAGCAAATCAAACGATATTTTAGGAGAACATATATACTGAAGAAGTCTAAGTCTAGAGAACAACAGCAAGATTCTCCAGTCATTGCCAGTGAGCATTCTCGAGGCGGAGGCCAATCGGTTAACACTCGGTATTGCAAGTCTACTAAAGAAAGCGAGCGACGGCCGGGGGGCGGCGCGGGCGGCACGCGGCGTATGCGCGTCGTATGCGCGGCGAGTGCGCGCAGATTGCGCGGCGTGCGCTTGAGCCGGTGCGTGCGGCGCGGCCCCCCGGCACGTCCCCGTACGAACTGAATAGCACATATTATGAATTCGACAAGGACTTACGTGCGTGCCTAGTAAACTCCTCAAACAAATCGTCCCGATCTCGATTCTTAGGGATATTCCCCACGAATAAACGGTGATTGTTAAAGGAAACCGTAACGCCAATCTTTTTCCCTTTTCGAATTTCATAATCATTCAGCTGCAAGAACAATTCGAGGGAGAATAGCCAATGGGCGGGGCCGGGTCGTGCCCGGGCCCGCAGACTGGAGAGGTTGCGGTGCGGCGGACGGGAGGGCGGAGGGCGGGAGGGCGCGGGCGGGGCGGGAGCCTCACGGGAGCGGGACGGGACAAGCGGGACGCAAGCGGGGCACCCTTCAGCGGTCCACACCAAGCCCCCACGCATTCACCCCAAAACTCTTTAATTCATTCGATTGACACTTTACCTGTTAATTTACCAAACTCTTCCAGTATCTCCTCTTTGCCTTTAGACTTGGGAATGTTGCCGACGAAAAGTCGCAGATTCGGTACGCTAATCTTAATTCTCAGAGTCTTCCCAGGTTTTATTTCGTGATTATCGAGCTGTGGGAAAAATAACAAGGGAAAAATTTTGAAAAAAAAAAGAGGAGGATTCAATTTCGGAGTCGATCAGGCCGACGGCCGTTTGTAACGGCTGCGCGGCGAGACGTGATCCGCGCGACCTCGTGACTGATGAACGGTTAGAGCCAATCGTGATGAGTTAACTGTACTTTGGATGATAAGCCAAAAGTGTTTGTTGTAGTTCGGAGCAAAGAGGAGAGCCTGAGATGTATTACATTCTCAGCCGGAGAACGTTTTCAAGCCAATTGAAAGTTAACCCTGTAAGTGGACCGTTTGATGAAGTGAAAATAAAAAAAAAGCGGTACAAGTGTGATGGTAACATAAAAAAAATGAAAGCAACTCAAAATTGAACGAGGTGCAATAGTAGAGAACGGGATGATATCTCAGGAGAAGCGAGGCTAGATCAGTTTATAGGTGTTATATTTGCACATTTAGACATTTGAGTGATTATATAAAAACGGCGGCCGAGTGCATCGAGTCGGGCTGAGCGTCACGACACATTCTGCACCCAACTACCGCCTCTCAACTCTCAACTCTCAACTCTACGCCTTACACAGCTAGTGCATGCAAAATTATACGCACACGGCGCTAAATTATTCAATTCTAACAGCGATCTCAACTAATTAGTAATAAACATGAATAAAGATGGCGGATGGACGATGCAAATGGCCGCCGTCGGTGGGATATTAATGTCATGCTTTATAAATGATATAAGCTTAAGATTATGTGTCCCAAATGTGACTGCGAATAAGTTATATTCGACAGGCAAATTATTGGGACTTGCAAAAGCAACGGACACGTGTCGCGTTGCTTTTGCAAGCGACGCCCATGTTTGGCAACTTCCATGGATGAAATCATCACACATTCATTACTTGTAGATCATTTCAACTCGGTGATGATTTCATCCAATCATTGGGCAAATATACAAATGAAGTCGCCAAACAATTGGCCAACTATATTGTGCAGTGAATCAGTTATCGTTCAAGGGATTTATACTTAAACATTCGGCGAGTCACCTGGAAAGTAGACGTCAAATTAGAATTTCGTTTTCAGATTTATAATGCACCAATTATACAGTGAAATAATCATTTCATAATTCAGATATACAATTTGGTAGAACCGATTGTTTGCTGGACGAGCTCATGTCAGCTAATGTTGTGCTAAACATTGCGGATTCAGATGTGCTTGACAACATCCTTTGCAGCCAAAGATTCATAACATCTAACCAACTGGTGTTTTCTTTAAGTTAGCAGAAAATTATCATATATGTGGTTCTATTATATATCTATACAATATAATGTAAGTAGATGATATCAATCTTTATGGAATAATAAATTTTCGCAACAAAATCAATAATATATCCAAGAGGGTGGTAATTTATTTCGTAATGTTACAGACTTGGCCAAATGTGCACTTAATGTATTAGACAAACAGATTCTTACATTTGCATTGATCGAGATAAAATGATTCAAATTAGCCACAATGAGCAAGAGGAGCTGATGGGCACATGAAAAATGTTTACCACTCTCCAGACAATCACAACACCCAGACATCCTTTCCGCGAGGTTACCTTCACCAACATGTTAAACCAACTTATTACCAAGATAATTGGACACTTTATTATTAATATAATTAACTATCATCGCGTGTAACTTCGTTCAAGTTAAACAAGTTAATGATGTAACTTCGCGCAAGGGAATTACGAAATAACTGCAACATCGAGTAGAGGGTATACTATAGAAAGAGACAAAGTGCCAACCTCTTGGACGGCGCGCTGCGTGGCCTCCCTCGTGGTGAAGGTGACGAACGCGTAGCCGCGGTTGGTGCCGGTCATGGGGTCCATCATGAGGCGCAGGTCCCAGATGGTGCCGCACCTCTCAAACAAGGGGATCAGCTCGTCCTCATACATGTCCTTGGGGATCTTGCCGCAGAACACCTCGCAGCCGGCGCCTGGCGTGCCCCCCTCCCAGCCGGGCGGCGGCCCGCCATACTTACGTTGACCTGGAAAACATTTACACACAGTCAAAGATAACTATACTTAGAGAAATATGTGTAAATATCAAATCTTGAAGTAAACGATGTAAAGTTGGCACACCAATAGTGCTGAATATAGACAATTTCATTCACCTGTGGTCACGTCTAAAGAATATCCAGTCCTGGCGAGGATTTGTTTGATTTTCTCTTCGTCGGGGCCCTTGGCCGGGACAGCAGCCGTCAGCGCAGGCGCGCCTTGCACGCCCGCCCTGCTTTTCTGTCTGGAACATCGCGACATTCTTCCGTAAATTACCACTTTTTGTATATATTTAGTATAATCAGGTAGTAGTCGTAGTTACAGTTTAACTCCAAACGTTTCAAGTGAATCTGCCTATAGCTTAAAAGTTGTGAAAGACGTGTGAACAAGTTCAAGCGATGTATGCGATTTTAGGTCTATTTTTGTAAGTACGTGTTAAATACTTCTCCATATATTGTTAAATATATTAAAATACCAAATACTACTAATATTTAAATTGAAAACAACGTATTTATTACGACACTTTATATTACATCGTCATAGTCCTATATCTTTAAAGAAACTTCGATACTTTGAAACAATATTATTTTACGTAAGATTATTATAAAGGCGCGGGTCATGTGAGACCTAGTAAGGACTACATATATTTTGCTAATCAAAATATTGGATATAAATGTTTATCTTGTCCTAAAAATGTAGATTTAACATCAACATTGTGAAAATTAAAAACATGTCCTGTGAATTTGAAACCAAACCAGTAGTAAAAACATTAACTTGTATGTATACAATTTAATTTACCCAACGCGTAATAAGTCTACTTGAATAACAAGGGATAAAATCTTAAGATGGAATAAATTACACGTAATTGCGAAATTTCTTAACCGGTACAATAGTTTCGCAGTTTATCCGGAACATACAGTAAGAAAATTATATACAATATTAAATATTTGATTAACTTATTCCTCACACGCTTCATGTACTTCAATCGAAAAATAAACTAAACCTTGAATCAATATAGCGAACATTTCGCAGCGCGGTACATCGCAAACAAGTTACAAACTCGGCCGAGAGTCGCCAGATGGCGTCAATTACACAAAACGCGTTATCTTTGCGACCGGCCTCCTGCATATTAAAAGTGTAAAATCAAATTCCCCAAGTCGACCCATTTATACACATTTGGAGGACATCCAACATTTTAAAGATGTAGCAACAAAAATTTGACGCAACTCACCTATAGGTCTTCATGACCCCACATAAATAAGCACTCTTATTCGATACATGCTCAAGATTTGAATCTAAAAATTGTCCAAGAACACTTAAAGCACCGTCGGATGGAAATTCTTTTAAGGCGTCCAGCGCACGCTCGTCCAACTCGATGTGCGCTAGCTTTCCAGTCTTATAAATGTCGTCCAGCTTGCCGGCCACCTGCAAAATCAAATCGTATTTAAACATGATACAAAATGCCAAATAAACCACTTCTTACGACTTGTCTTAGTATCCATCAGACACGCGACAAAGTCGTTTAAATGACAAAAACTTACACATTAAGGAAAAAACTTTCAATTTCACCGTAATTTTAGTTATTTCCAATAGCAAAAAGCAATAAACGTAATCAAAACATGTTTGGCGGCAAAACATCGCGATAAAACAAAAGTATAATCCCTAAAGTGCATGAATGATATATTATTTGCATATGGCAACAAATTTCGGAAATAATTTTACTACAGAATATTAGTGTTGCCATATTTATTTACTACAGTAAACATACAAACTTTTTACAGTAAAATCATTAAATGAAAAACTCAGCAGAAAATCTAACACTGTTTTTTATAAATTAACTTGTAAATAATTAATAATTAAGAAGTACAAATCATACCATTATAAAACCTACAAGGAAAACTGTACTCAATACACCAAATGAATATTCCTAGATACAATATTACTTGCATAGAATATTAAATAACTGGTATACAAGAGGCATAAACAAAATTGTTTATGGCAACAGAGATTATATTTAGTGGGCAGTGTTCAATAAAGGTGCATAGATAAGAGATCAGAGGCCAGGGTATAATCAGAATGTTGAGAAAATGCAATAAACCATTTATATACAACCAATATCATATGACAAGCAAAGATTACACTTTTATCAGAAATAATGCATGTGCTAATTTTTCTTGCAAAAATTTTATATGGCAACTATGAACAAAAATTTGTCCCCAGAGATAAGCCATGTGTTTTGATTGAATATCATTATGTACTATCATCTAACTTGCTGTTAATTAATAAATGTAATAATCAACAAAAGAAACATTACATCTCAAAGAACTTTATCCCAAGAAATCAAGAAAATTTATTACAAAACATATACCTAAGTGATATTTTTCAAGAATTAAAAACTAATAAGAATCTTACAAGAAAAGTCTACTTAGATTCTAATAAGACAGTAAAACTTTCATGAAACACTGATAATTCTAAGGTTAACAGCAATTGGCCCCAATTACATCCTGATACTGAATAATGTACCATTGTGTTCACTACCAGACTTTACCACTCCTATATTATTATCTATATACTCTCATAAACTTTATAAAAGTAATTTTATTTATATATTTACTAAGGAAATTAACAAATAAAGTATATAAGAGAAATATTACAACAACAGATAATTAAATATTAGAGAAAAAAGTAAAAAAAAGTTTTCATCGATGAGTCAATAAAGGCTAAATGTTTTAAACAAATCTACATTCAATGTTAACTTGGTTACAAAATAAGATGTGCCACATGCTTTAGATATATGTTTATTGCCTTACCTTTGGGTCCAAGCCATATTCTATAAGTTTGCGGTAGTCTGGTGTACGGCCAACGTCGGAGTCCTTCCCGGGGACCTCTTCTACGGATATCTCTCCATTACCCTCCGCCATTCTGGACAGTTATGAAAGATTGCTACACACACTGCACTCATTGTGGCTTAATACACCACACTTTTAATATCTAAATAAACTTTTATAACTAATGGTTTCTGAAATCTGCCTTCATGGCTCGCCTAAAGATGATGTCATACATTGGAATATCGAAAGCCACGCGTGAGAACGATGCCAATTGTTGCTTTTTTAAGCAGTGATAACTTGAAAATTATATTACACTACATAACGAAGGAAATAAAATAATAATTACCTTATTTTGTAATTTTTGTAATTTTGGAAGAAAATGACAACTCTCTAATCGTCCGAAAAACAAAAAAACAAATGATGTTCAAACATATGAAACTGTGAAACAATAGGTCTGTGCACTCCTCATTCCATCCGGGTGAAGGTAAAATTTTAAAAAGCGAATGCGCGGGCTATTGCATTCTTCTAGTGATGTGAAACAAATTTTGGGCCTAAAAAACGGAAATCGGAATTATTCGCAATGTACGATATAAAAGCGGCACTAACAAAATAAGAGATGCGAAATCCGGCGGTCAATGACCGAAATAACACAGAGTACACTGTGAAGTTCTTTACAAACTATAACACATGCCACTTTTTAAAAATAATTCACTTTAAAAACACTTTTACAATCCATCTGTACAGCAAAACAGACACTAGTAACTTTCCGCGCATGAAACTTTGCCGAATGCGAAACTGCAATAAGTTGAGAGTGCAACTGCATTGCACCCGATAAGAACCGGCCGGCGCGCACCTTAATTTCCAAAAAGAATCCAATTGGAATGAGCACAGAGCCAAACTACAAACAGGAAACACCGTAACACATAATCACTGAACAATAAAATCAACCTTAGGCACTGGACACGAAAATAATTACCTATTAATTTTGCTACTTGGTGGCCGAGACAGATATGGCGGCACCGCGCGACGTCAACGTGACCGCCAGTACGGGGTTCTCATAACGACGCGCGCGGGACTTGATGCAACGAGGAGTGCATTCAAACTTTCAAAGGCACTTAAATTTGTATATAGGTTTAAAAATGTTCTCCGTGCAGACTTATTGCGGCCGCAGCGAATGATAATATATTTTATTGCACAGAGAGTTTTTGCAATGGTTGCGAATAATTTTGAATGTGAAAGAGCGCGGCGCGTCGCGCAAGGCTGCCGGCCGCGAGGTGAGACAGGCTAGCGGCAAGACGGCGGCGAGCGAGAAGCCGAGCGCGAGGGGGGGAGGGTGTTGCAACCGGCGGTGCAGGCGTGCAGCACCGGCGACGCCGCACCGAGCTCGCCCGCTTGCATACTGCATACGCACGCACACTCGCACACCGCTCGCTGACCTTCGTTACTCGTAATCGATTCACTGTCAGTCCCACTCTTTGTTGCAACAATTAAACTTTTTAAATGTGAAAAATTTAATAAAGCATTGCAGCGTAATTAAATCTATTAAAATAGCACGTCGAAACTCCAATCAATTCAAACACCAATAAATATTACCGCCAAACAATTGTTTTTCTTATCTATTGTTATCTAATTGGAACACCTCTATGAATGAGTAATGACTTTTGCACACTAACAACTTTGTAAATTAGAATAGTCGCAATAAGTTATAAAACACGTTGTACTCAAAAATAATTATAACACGGTAATAAAATATTTCAGTAATATCAAAACTGCGAATATAAAATGATCACACGGTTGCTAATCGACATCGTCCAATAAGTAGAGAACAAGGTTCATTACTCTTTGATATGGAAACGAAGGGATAAAAGAGTTAATCGCAATAACCCCTTACTTTAGTTCGCTTCACCTGCTGATTATTGAAGCCGTATGTATTCGCGACACAAACACAAAACTGGCCTTCGTAGTTCGCATGTATGCGTAAGAAACTCGGCCCGTATCCGCCGCGTGATGCATATGTGGGTAGATAGGTGGAGCGGCTACCGCGGAGCCGCGCTTTGTGTGGACAAGGTTCCAAAGCGACCCTTTCACCGCGAATATGAATCTTACACGAGCCTCAAGTCGTGTCTAAAATCGCTTTATGTTCCGACCATAATCTTGCTGCACAAAGAGGCCGAGTGCAGTGCGCCGCGCCGTGTGAAGCGGCTCCACAGACAAATTTCCTTTCTCATATTTTCTGATATCGATAGCACACGATGTAAAAAGAACTCTCAAGCCAGGTTTCCGGTGCCTGCGATCAACATTAAAAAAATAAAACAGCGTTTATTTTTAAAAAAGTAATCACTATGAATAAATTTGTAGCCAAACATTAATTAACAATAACGCATAAAATAAATCGTAAAAATCTTTTAAACGCGTACATCACTATTATTTTTGTTTTTAAGACAAGTTTAATCTTAAGTGTCTTTATGGCCATAGAAACTCCAAATAGTTTCTATTAATGTATTGAAACTTTTTAACGCGATAATTAGGTAATCAGTTTCGCATAGTATATGAAATTCGAGGAATCCGTACCGATCGACGCACATAGGGACCTTAGAAATAGCAAGAATCATCCGTCACGGACATACGGCTATAAATATCCATTTTTGCAACATACGTAGCGGAGCGCGCCCGCGCCGCTGCGCGCCGTACTACATTCGCGATAAGGCACTTAGTGCGTATTTTAAATACATCAACGGTTCATTGACCCCGAGCGGTTTCGCGCCGAACGTTGCCGAATTTATTGTGTCTGTAGATTTGTGGGTCGGCGTCGACGCTCACAACTCTATCTGACCTCAAACCGGGGGTCCAGATGATATGACGTCACCGTATCGAGCCATGGCCGGTCGATTCTAGTTCCACATAATATTTTAATAACGTATTCATAAAACGCGCACTATGCATTATAATACTGCCCTAATCTAACCTGCCGGCTGAATAGTAAGCCGCTAGTGGCCTCACTGTGTCGAGGTCGTTGCTATTTGCTTTTTTGACAATTCAAGGGCAGTACTATATTTATAATATGATTGTTTGACGCATATGCGAGCTCGCAAAAAACTTTCCATGTTAATTATTTTTTAGTTTTTAAATAAAATTAAAATTTTCACAAGTAATGTTATTCACAATTTTAATCTGTAGAACTTAGCGTGTATGCTTGAATGACTGTAAATAATTTAATGTAAGTCTATTTACATGTTTTACAATATAAATATCCGTTGTTTTGAATTAATGACATAGGCAACATGGGATTTTAAACTGCGATTAAATCGTGAAACCATCTCGAGCCATTGTCGACGGGGTTCTCGACCTCTGAGGAGCGCGCCGTCGCATACTCAATAGAACACAATTTGTTTTTTTTTTGCTTGTGTCTGGCCGTATCTGTGGGTTAAATGCTAATTTGTGATCGTAAAAACTTCTTAATTATAAGTCAGTATTCATTTTTAAATTACTCGATTGTAAAAACCAAAAAAGTTAACGTAAATATAGTTTTTTTTTTTATTTTAGGCACAATCTCTGATAATTTGCAGAACAAAGGCGTTTATGTCATTGACTTGCATACAATGATAAATTGAAAAATACATATATTATCAGCGTCAACGATGGCTACATTTGGGACAGAAATAAATCCGTAATAAAAACTGACATGTAAAATAACCTATTTAAAACGTTAATTCCAAAGTTCCAAAGGCGTGTCACTTTATTTGTTTTAATAAGTTAGTTTTTATTATTTTATTTATAATATAAATGCGTTGAAGAAGAAAAGTGTTGCAGTTTTTTCAAAGAACGTGTGGGGTTATCGATTTTTTTACACGTGTCGATACAGTGAAAACCTACGCTAAAATACACAATTCAAATGCAATGAATTCCACAAATAGCAGACAGGTAGCGGAGAGAGATGCCGCGTAATCTGAACCCACGCGATACTTGACACTCAACACCATGTATCCAGTTGAATCGACTCAATGAACCATGCATGTGTTATATCTTCACGCTAAAACTCCTACAAGTAATATTGTAGTAGTTATTTCATAAGATTGTTAAAGTTATAATTATGATTTAGAAAAAAAAAAGAAAGTCTGATTTAGATTTAGTAATAGTAATACTTGACAAAGGAGATCTTATATTACTTATATTATAAACGCGAATGTTTAGATGGATGTTACTTTGAAGGTATCTCCAGAAAGGCTCAATGAATCTCGATGAAATTTGGCATACATATAGAATTATAGAACATAGTCTGGAAGAACACATTGGCTACTTTTTATATATTTTTTTAATTCCCCGCGAACGGAGACGCGGGCGACAACTAGACAAATACAGATATTAGCTATTTTAAAATATACATACATATCACATAAAAGTATTTACTTATTGGTTTCTGAGACCATCTCTGTAAACATATTGTCATCCCTGTTATTATCTTTGACAAAACAGAGATAACAATATGTTTTAAATAGAGATTTTCGTCTCGGAAACCCACTGGTACACTGCCTTCGTAAACCAAGTTTCATTCTCTTTGAACACGACGAATATTTTTATCCGAGAAGCGATAAAATAATGCTTATTTTCAAATCTCATTATTCACGTGACATATTTTAACCCAACGCGGAAGATAAAGGAGTATATAATTAGTAACTGGTTGATAACATGTACATCGTACAAGTAGTAAATACAAGCTTCTGTAACAATGCGAAAGATGTGAGGCCTTGACTTTATGTTTTACATTCACGTTGATGACGCTTCATTTGGCACTGATGCGGTAAAAATCAAAAGCTCCTTTGTTTCCAACTCTTACGCGACTTAAATATTTATAATACAACTTAACGTTGTAAATTCAAATAGAAACGCTGACTGTATTACACTAAAGTTTCACTAGAAGCTGTTTTTATGCAGTGAAAATGTATTTTATGAATTACAAACCAGGAAATGCATTAAAATAAAGTTAATAGTCTCTTTTGTGAGTAGAAAAACGCGGAACGAAGCGTATATTTTCATATCCAGGTTGAGCGTGGAGCCCTAGGGGTGTAAGTGCGCCCTCCCGAGCCTCCCCCCACTCTGCGCCATTGCAGTAAACTCAACGAGTTCACTGTGTAAAAGACTTTTTTTTAATTACATAAAAATGTGCTTTGGAGTTAAAATACTGCTCTCTATTTAGCCAGTCTGGTTAGACGGAAAATAGCCTCTGTTCACTAAAGTCAACATTTTTTTTATATCATAAGGTGGCAAACGAGCGAGCGGCCACCTGAAATCGCTGATATAGCGAAGTGACCGTTGCACATAGACATACGCAATTCCATATGCGTTGCCTACCTTTAATCGACGGAGGAGAGGATGCACAGAAATAAAATATATTTCCTTTCCACGCATCTTCTCATCCGGAAAGTCCAATTCCACTTCCCATCCTTTCCTTATAAGAAAAAAGGTGGGAAGGGAAAGAGGACTAAATTAGGCCTCCGGGACGCACACTCATCAGACGAAACACGGAATTGCTTCCACTTCACGCCTGTCTTCTGTGTGGTCGTGGTATTTCACCGGCGAGCCGGACCAATTCGTGCGAAGATGTTAAAGCGGGCTCTACCACTGTTAAAATATCATAAAACATATATTGGATTTTCACGTTATTAATATATTCACTGGAAATCTGTCTTTAGTAGACTTAATTAGTATGCTGTATTGGATACGTTTTGATAAGGAAATATATATTTGCTTATATATATATATATATATATATATTTCCTTATATATATCCATAGACAATTACCACATACAAAGTCATGCGAACGTCTTTTTAAGGGTTTTCCATCAGTATTGTCACATAAAATACATGACATTTCGAAAATCGAATCTCGATTCGACGTCAATCCTCAATATAGTATTACCCGTTGTCGATGGTAGTCATATTTAAGAAATAGGTATGCCTTTACTAGATAACGTAACTTATTTTTTTCTGGTATTAAAAAAAATAGTGGTTTATATGACTTAACCATTGACAATACTTATAAAGACTAAAATAACAAACGATATACAACCCTAAAATTGGTTCGATTTAAAAGGTTTTATCGTATAATTACATACTTATAGAAAGTTAAAAAAAATATGTTTTGCCACCTACAGTATATTTACATTATTGGCTACTCTTTGGTTTGTTTAGTTTTTGGCATGATAACAACACTGCGGTTACTGCAGTATAACGCTAAATCACTGCCTTCCTTTCGCTGCAATCCAACCGAAATATATTCATTAGTGTTGCCACTATAAATTATTGTCGATAATTTTTTTTCATAATTTAATAAAAGCTGATAAACAGGATGTTTAAATAATAAAGATAATCATGAAGAATGAAAC